CAAGAAAGTGTTGATATCCTAAAGACAAACAGAAACAGCACAGCTAAGCTGAGACTAGCTGCATAGACGATCAGATACAGGAAGTCTGAAAGCAGAAGGGAAGGAGGACAAGAGAAAAGGGAGAGGATGTAAAGGCAGATGGTAAAGAATGAGGACTGGGGAAAAGTCTTGCTCGATTAGATTATAAACATTACAGCTATTAACATGTCTTTAACTTGAGTTCACATGCTCTGCTCTACACCAGCATGACTCACTGTCACAGGCGTACGGCTTGTCCCTGTCCTCCAGTGCTGCAGTATCCAGCTTCTTCCTGCTGCTGCTGCCCACTCCTCGTCCCTGAGGTCAGACACATTAGAGTCAACAGTTGGGCTGGTTTTAAAACCAATTTCCAATTAATTGCAGTTTTATTTTTTTCTTAAATCCTAGAATTGATGACTACCAGAGTATAACATAGTGAACACGCTGAGTGAGTTTAGCTCTAAGTTATATTGGGTGAGGCTGATGCCTGTGAATGCTGGTAATGAGGTGCAGTAATGTTAAATGTAGCTGCAAACTTTTAATTAGCCCTAACAGTTCTAATCCGATGAAGAGAAACCGGTATATAGCCACTATTGCTCTTGTCACACAACAATGGTATTTAACAAGGTGAAAATAAGCACCAGTCTCCTGTCACATTCTGGTGAAAGAGTCAAGCCGATATGTGGCTGTAGTAAACCCAAAGGCTAAGACACACATGGAGTTCATCGACTTATTGAGAAGGTGTATTCATGTCCGATGATTTTATTTACCTTCCCTTTCCCTTTGCCTCTTCTTTTAGGTGTATCTTCCTCATAATCTTCATCGTCTAGGTCGTCCAGGAAGTCATCAGGCTCGAGGATTCTCTGTGTTGATGCAAATGAGAGAATAAAGAAAATAGTTGTAAGGTAAAATCATTATTGAACTCAAAGATATCTTGTGTCTAACGCCAAAAACAGGAACCTTTCTGATCCGAGATGCAGGGTTCAGGCCTCCAGTGTAATCACTCATGTTTGAATCTTCTTCAGACCCCCGGAGCTCTGCGGTCGTACGTTTTTCCAAGGACTCCCCCTTCAGCAGGGCTTCCAGGCTGCTGCCATCTGATGACAACACAGTGTCCTTCTTCACTCCTAAATCCAGCTCTATGAATACAATACAGACACAAAGATGCAAAAAGAAATACAAAATGTTGGAATACTCTACTGCAAAAAAAATGTTGTATCCCTGCTTGTGATATTGATGGACTAAGCCACATTTAAAAATAAAATAATTACAATTACTAATTATTTTATTAGCCCATAAAATTACATCAAATACTACTTTAATTTATTTTATAGCCTTTCTTAAAACTTGACATGGTAACATGAGGTAAGCAGAGCTGAATTCTGTCAGTTCATGTCAATACCTGACTTGACAGGAGGGAAGACAAGTCGTGGATCGTCTGGAGGATGAGATCGCCGTTTCTTTCTCCACCTCCTGGAGGGGTAGGTGTAGAGCTGCCCTGGAGCCACACCTGAGGGACAAAAGAACAGATCCATCAACATCTGTTTTATTAAAGAAGGCATGTGGGTATCGCTTGATTATATGCCTCCACAGTTTAACTTGTGTGAATGTATATGACTTTTTTTGTCTTAGCCTTAGACAATGTTCCAGTGAACATGTTCTGTATCTCACCTGGTCCCCTGTGTCTCTTCTCCATCCAAATGTAGCAGTTGCTCTGAGCTACGCCGGTCTGCGAGTCGAGGAACGGCATCCGGACGCTCCTCTCAGCACAGAGCCTGGCGTTGTAGTTGTGACATTGCTCCATTGCATCTCTGTAGTACTGCTCCCCGAGCCTGACAGAACAAAACCAGATTCAGACGCTGGGGATGGTTAAAAGACAAATCAACAGGCCACTCCTTAAAGAGAGAGGAACTTCGAACTTCTGAACCTCCCTGACAGTTTCTTTGTTGTACTGCCACCTTAAGCTCACTCACCAGACAATGTCTATGTACTTCAAAACGAGATAATTTGTGAGAGTGCCACAGCAGGTTCCCTGTTTGTTGGTGCATCAACAATAAAAAGCCTGGTCGTCAGCACAGTCAAAAGTGAGCTGTGTTTTCATCATAATAAAGTCAAACAGACTTGGTTTTGCTCACTCACCTCTGTCTGTTTGTTGGTTGGTTGGTTTGAGTTTGATTGTAAGATTATTCAAAAACAACAGATCAGATTATCAGAAGTTTGGTGCAGCTTGATTGAATTTAAGGGGACTGTTGGACCTTGGTGTAGTATGCACTCTACTGTGTGCCTTCTAGTTTAAATCAGCCGTTCACAAATTAAATTAAATAAAGCTTCAACGAACAATCTCAGCACTGATTTAAAAAGAACAACCTACATTAATTCTGTTTAATGCTCATAGTCTGCCTGTGTTGCCCGTCTTCTTTTACTTGACTGTAATACTGGAGGCTCATACAACATATGTTATACAAAACCCAAAATATTGTCATGTATACATAGTACTCATATCACTCGTTTATTATTATGTCATAGTGCCTGTAGTTTTATATAACATATTTAGTATATCATATGTGACACGTGATCTGATAGTATACACTTTAATGATATTTTATATCATATCATATTTTATCTCATATCACCTCTGACATAGTTTATATATGATGATGTCATAGATACATATCTAGATTTATCACAACACTATTGCTACTGTATTACTACTTCTGTTACATTATTATAACATTAGGCTGTGCCATTATTATTATTGTTTTTCTATAACAGTACATTATTAATAGTATGTCGCGTGTGTACTATTATTATTAATAACATTGTTATTAACATTATCATGATTTCATCAGCATTCACCAGTATCACAAGCACCTTTGCACCTTATGTATATAATCTCTCATTCTGTTGTATTCTGAGTTTTAATTCGCACTTCCACTGCAACTTGTATATTTCCTTTTCTGTATTCTTTATGTTTATCTGGTATTTTATTGTGTTATGATAGATCTGGCTGCTATGACAATTTGATTTCCCTGTGGGTATCAATCATCTATCCATCCATCTAATGTAGCAGCACAGAGACATTTCAATGATCGGGGGAGAAGTAAACAGAGGAAAGTTTGGGCACGAAACACAAAGTACAGGCAGCGGAAATGGAAGCACGTTGAGAACAACCTGGTGTGAGCCAGTGAAACCTTTAGACACTTCCGCAGAGTTACTACGTGACACTCCGAGCTGCGGCGTGTCTACAGCGGCTGAAACACCGAGCTGACAGGGGAAGGGAGCGAGCTTCCATGTACTCTCCACCTTCTGTCCGCTAACGACGTGGGCCATTACTACGCTTCACTTTAGCTTGTTAGCTTCCGTTAGCTGCGGCACTTCACTGACGTTAGCACCGAGCATAGCAGAGAACCGCGTACTCCCGCACACACACACACACACACACCACAGGTGACTGCACTGTCTCCGTGAACACGTTCGCCACTGAACAACAACATGCTCTGTCACACACACACTCGTCGGTTGCTGTTTCTCAAACGTCAAACTGCGTGTTCGCTAACTTCCACTCCCACACCAGGATGTGAACACACACGACGGGTCCCACAGGCTAACCCCGCCGAGTCACCGGGCTAAGCTAAGCTAGCGACACGCCGGGTGGCGGTGTGAGGGAGTCGCGGCGGTGTCAGCGCGGCGTGTGTGCGGCAGGAGGAAGGTGAGGTAGGAAGAAAAGTGCAGCACTTACAGTTTGACAACATTCTCAACAACAGCTGCCATCTTGCTTTGACACACGGGGGGAAGTGGCTCCGGGGAACTGTGCCCTCTGTGAGGACTTGTAGGCACGGAGAGCGAGGAGCGCGGTGTCGAGAGCCCCCTGCTGGTAAGGATGTGTCACTGCAGGAGTGTGATCACAAAGCTGCGACTCTGCAGCTGAATTCTTCATTTTTAATTTATTAAAAACAGGATGAATTATCCTCACGTATTGTAGCCTTGATCAGGATGATATACTTAAAATATGTTTTATTTTTATGGTGCATGGGATACACAAAATGCTGCTCAAGAGTCTAAATAAAAAAACGAAATAAGACCATTTAAAGCCCACACTTGTTTTCACCTGTGATCAAACTTCTTCTCTGGACTGAGTGCAGCTTCAACTAAAATGACATTCAGTCGAATGCATAGCCACAGCGAGGCTGAACAGTCCCCTTATGAATTTATATGAAATTATATTTGAATTTCCCCTCTGTGGGATGAATAAGTCTAAATCTGAATCTAGTTCTGGATTTTTACCTGCACCAAATTGCACACACACGTCAATATTATTCACACAAACACACCTAGTTTTTTCATCAAGATCTATGACTTTTTTTCTCTGGGAAATCAATGAAAATGTTGAAAAATTATTTTGCCCTGAACATTCCACACCCTTACACCAAATTCCATGGTGATCCCTCCAGTTTGCATAACTATCAGAAAAAAAAAAAAATCCAGATTCCTGGATCTGCACCAAATTCAGTGGGTTCTTCCTTGGTGATAATAACCCTGATGACATCATTCAAAGGGTTAGTTGACCCTGATGATGTCACTAGGGTCTCAATATGCAAAATTATGGAACAAGGGAAAACTTCACTAGGATTATTTTATATTCAATTTCTGCCAAATATTCCTTTCACCTAAATCTTACACACTGAACAAATGTTAACCATTTACTTTACTGTAATTGTTTCGATCATATATAGTTTGATTATAGTGTTTTGTTCCTCTCTGTGCCTGCTCATTGTGGAACCTAAGGTGTCAACCTTAATGTGTTAAGTGACTTGACTTAATACAAATAAAATAGAACAGTTGAGGTATAGTAAGACTCATATTTAAACAGTTGAGCCACAGATGAATAGTTTACATTTTATAGATTTGTCAAGTGATCATAATTCAAACATCTTGTTCTCTGTTTAGCACCTCTTGAACACAGAAAACCCCACATCAACACATTTTCATTAAACCATGTTTTATTATTCCTAATATTAGATGTAGATACACAAGTCAACAAACATTATTTTCGATTCGTAATGAAAATGCTCCACAGCACACTGACATCGTGTGGAAGGGTCTGGTATTACAGACACGTACCTGAAAATGGACAGCAGTTATACTTTTTGCAATAAGTTGCATTAGTAACAGTAGTAGTAATAGTAACAACAGTAGCAATAATGATAATAATAGCAATTAATAATAGTAGTGGTATTAACAGCTCTGAATTACAGAGGAAGGAACAGACATTCGTCAAAAGTAAATCAGAAATGAAAGTTGTCGAACAGGCTTATCAAATGCTGCAAGACAGACTACTGGATGAAAAAATACAAGCTCCCACTAGACAGCAAAGATCCTGCCTTCTTGGAAAAAAAAAAAAAAAAAAAAAAGGAAGCTAAAATTGTCACCAGTCTGTTTTCACTCATATCTAATACTCAACAAGTAAAAGTTGTAATTTTTTCTTCATTAAGTTCTCCATTGTGACGAGTTCTCTCATAACCAAAGACTCATCTCTTTGACATCAATAATACACACGTCCCATGTTCTGCTCGAAGCTCACCAGTAGCACAATGGTATTTATTTTTTTTAAAAGGGTGCTGTATGCAACATCGAATTAGCCAGGGACATTCCCACAAGACTGGATTGCCAAGGTCATTCTGCATTGAATATACAGTACAGTATCAATGTGTGTGTGAAAGAGAGAGAGCTTGTGTACAGTGTGTCAAGAACATTTTTGCTTCACGTGACCAATTTGGCCAAAAACTAATTTGAATCTTCACACATTCAAATGAGCTGATAAGAAAATACACTGTGTGAGCTATAAACTTGAACTCCCTATAACAGCGAATGGAGGATGTGCGGAGCTGAGAAGTAGAAGTGTTTACTAAAAACAGCTCGTCCACTGGGGAAGAATGATCCATAAGAAATTGTGCACAATGTGCTAAACTGCGTCGGCTCACTCATGTATGCAATGACCTCGTTGACCGGTTTAACTTTCAGTTTGAGGCTACTTTAACTAGACTGTAACTATAGGGAGCTCTGCCACATACCCAGGATGCTAAGTCCCACTGACAGAGACAAGGCAAGGTTGGGTGCTGTCAAATTAACCCAGATCAATAATCGTCTCAAAGTGGATATTGGGTTTCAGATTTGAACAACGGCTGCACATTCGTTTGGGACTGGAAGAATAAGGCCGACCGGCTTAAAACTGCAACCAAATGCAAGTTTACTTCCCCCTGTGTGTGTTATCACAACAGTTTGGTGTGACATTCCTGTGACGCATCCAGGCAGGTACCAGCTTTAAAGAGTTACTTTCAACATCTAATACATTTCAAATTATTAATTATCTGCGAAAAATGCAACCTACTGAAGATTTAAAAAAAGAAATCTTCCTTTTGCATTTTGGCAGTTACAAAGGCATGTGAACACTTGGATTTAAGTGACTAAACAGTTACCAACCCCTCCAATGGTCTCAAGATGTTTCTGTGTAATTGAGCTACTGTCTAGTTTCACAATATACTGTAAATACCTCTTTCCTATCAAACATGTTCAGTATTTGAGGAGACTAAACATTGATTTTTGTTAGATTGCCTTTATATTGTTTTGGATGAACGTAAATGCCAATTATATATAATTAGTTGCTCTTAACCCTGAATATGAAGTGATTACACCAACACAGAAGAGAACAGATGATGAGACACATACGAGTATAAACTTACATGAAGTCATGCCACATATGGAAGAGCTAAGCTCGTTTAATAGAGAATTCAGGACTTCTCCCTCAGTTGATTCATATCATACCTGCATATACAATCCACTGACATACATTAGATCATTGCCACAGGGCACATGTTTAACATTCCTATCATTTGTACCGAGAAAGCTTTCTTTAAGACTGTTTGAATCGGAGGTGGGTTTGTAAAAAAACAAACAAAAAAAAAAAAAGGTTCAGTGTATCTGTAGTGGGTTCCAGTAAGGCTCGGTACACCTCTCTCTGTCAGGTAGCACACAAACCATATTTTTCACTGCCTATCACTTCCATACCCTTCATTTCACCTGCAATGAGACCTGTCAGCTGTCCGTCTGTCCTGCTCACATGTGCTTCAGCTTTTTATCTACACACTGCCCCGTGCATTCACAACAGTAGATGGAGAGAGAAACAGAAATAATGAAACCGTCTTGGGGAACTTCATTGGTAATTTCTTCTTACACATAAAAAAAAAGAAAAGAAAAGGCATTTTGATGAAATAATTCCAGTAATGTTTTGAGTTTGAGTTTATCTGGCTTTTGTCTACATTTGCGTACCGTAAAGCAGCATCAGTCTGGCCACGTTTAATTAGGAATAACATAAACGTGCAAAATCCCACAGCACCACAACTCACTCACACACACGCGCGCGCACACGCACACACACAAACACACACTAGAAAACTAATCTTATCTGCTTTGTACAGAAAAAAAATTGAAAATCAAGCAGAAAAGACCACTCAAAAGAAATAATCAAATACAGGCAAAATTAGAGATAAAATAAAAAATAAAACCACTTATTAAATATATATATATTTATATATAATTTCCCAAAGAAACGTGTGATCACTTACTCCACGCTGCTAAAATTGAAAGAGTTTTATTTTTTCTCAAAACACCTCAATAAAAGAAATACATACAAGGGCAAGCCCAACATTCTCCACTAGTTTAACTAAATTTATTTCTCTCCACAACATGAATCAAGATCATCTTCTGTCAAATTAGTTTTCTCAAACCAGCAACAGCAAAAGATAAATAATAATAATAATAATAGCAATAATATTGGTCAGGTTAATAACATCAATACCGAGAACAGAAAAAAAGACTGATGTGATCCTTCCCAAAGAGAGAGCACTTAAGAGCGAGGGGAATAAAACCAGAGTGCACCACAGTGGAAAGCCACCATCCAGTGTTTTATTAGTGACACAGCATTAAAATGACTCTGCTAGTCAAGACTCACAGAAAAGAAAATATTCATGCTGAAGAAGAGATTGGAAGTGAACTGGGCCTGGATCCCTGCTAATGACAACCAGACCTGTTACTGACTCACGTTGAGCTCTGCTGGTTGGCTGAAACTGCCTTTGGATGAGGGCTTTCATTGTTGGGTGCAGATAAATGTGAAATAAGAATTGTGTGAACGAAAAAATAAATGACAGATAAAACTGGCGAGGGAGATAAAGAAAAGAAACAAAGTTCACTGTGTGCCACGTACAGTAGCTTTTGACAAATTCCTTCGGGCCTGCACTGAAAGCAGTGTGTGGTTTGACCTGTTTGTACTTTTCATTCTGCCTGCTTCTCTGTGTTGAAATTTGACAAATGTAGTTTCCATCACCGATTTTACAAGTGTTCTATTTCTTCTTGCCAAAGAAGCTGAACCTCTTCTCTCGATCCTTATCTTTCCCTTCTTTGTTGCGCATGGTGACACCTCCAGCATCACCTGAGCTGGGGGAGATGGGAGGCATCGTCATGGCACGGCTGAGGGCCCGCGGACCTCCGGGTGAGTCTCCTGATCCTGTTGGAATGGAACTGAGGATGGACTGGATCCAGGAGCTCATTTCCGACTTCAGACAGACAGAAAACATTATTACATGTCAGGCAGAGGCACAGCAAGCAAACAAGATTTTTTTTCACAAATGTTTATATATCTATATGTATTTTACTTTAGTAATTCTGTCCTATATATCTCACCTCATCCTTTGCTTGGAACAGGTACTCTTTTCCATCTCCTAGCCTGCAGACACAGTAGAGAGGTTATTAAGTCTAATACATCTCACTGTTTTTTTTTTCTCAGCATTTCATCATGATCTCTTATTTTATCTGTTAAATCCAGCAGTGCGACAGCAGTAATGTAACAGAAATCCATGTTCTCCTCTCACCTGAGCTTGAATACATGTTTCCTCTTCTTATAACCGTTTGCTACCTCACACACAGCCTCACCAAGGCTGATTGGTACCTCTCCATGATATGGAATGCCGTTGCTGGCACTCTTGCCATCTTTATAGAAACCCAGACTTCCTTTTCTTAAGACACAGTACACGTTCTGCCAAGACCTATGGGAGCAAATAAATGGCATTGGAAGCAGCATGAGTTGTATACAAAAACAGAGAGTATATGTATTTTCTATATCTATAACACTTAAAAAACTTAAAATCTCTCTTCAGTCTCCAGTATCTGCCCTCTCCAAGGTCTATTATGTTGTCAGACTCCCCTCGTAAGAACACTCACCTGCTAGCTGCCTTTTTGCTGTGGGACTCCATCTCCTGTTTTCGACAGAGCATCCCCTCCATGGTGTCTGGCTCAGACTCTGCTCCGCCCCTGCTTGGTAACGTGGCAGACGGCTCGAGGCGAGAAGATGCCAGTCCACTGTCCCGACCTGGTCCGTTCACCGACTCCGACTCTGAGCCCTGTGGTGCAAACCAGACGTGAATGTGGGTAATGAGGTAGAGAGAAAAACAACAACCCATGAGTGGATGGAAGCAGTGAGCAGCAACGCAACCATTCACAGCCACACATGAAGAGCCATGATGACGTTAGCATTGATGGCAGTGTGTGATTACCTGAGGTAACAGCAGAGCATGGGTTTAAAAGATCCACATGACCACAATTGCAGCACACTGATATTTAACAGGACGATTAAAGTCGCTCATATGTGTAAGACATACAGTTAAAATGACCACACATCTCGGAAACATACATGCTATATTGAACACGCTTAAATAACGAAAGTATTATTGTTATATAAAAGTCATGAAAATGTACCAAAGGAACCTTAAAGATTTATTTGGGAAAGATTAATCTTAACAGTGTGAATAGTTCCTGAATAGTTCCTGAAAATATCTGTAAATCTCTCTCCAGTCTTCAGTGTCTGTCCTCGCCGAGGTTTATTATGTTGTGCTTGCCAGATTCTCTTCATATAAACACTAACCTTTTAACTGCCTGTTTGCCATTTACATCCAAAGACAAATGTGCCATGTCAATATTATTATTCCAAAGATCATCATCTTTTCAGTCAATCCTCAGTAAATGAATAAATGATGACACTACATTGCAACACACAAACACAGACAAAAACATTAAGTACTTTGGCTTTTTTTTACCATTTGAATCCTAAATATGATATCCACAGAAATAGGATGTCTTAGATTTTGGCCTTTGTCTTTTTTCCTACAAACAACTGATAATTGACTCCATCAAAAGACACTCATCACAACAACTGTACACATACAGGGACAGACTAAAACAAATACATTTAAAGAAGCTTTGAACAGCTACAATATCACCACATTTACAACTCTGGGCTCCACATTTAATTTTACTCCTGTCCTGGTCAATATGAGCACATATGCACCTGCAGGCAGCATATGTGATCCATGAAAACAATCTGTTCATGAATCTGCATCATGCCTTTAAACAGCAATGGGGCTCATTACAAAAGAAAAAACAATAAAGCAATGGACTGCATCTGAGATAGAGAGCAATGGCTTCCTGATAAAATAAAGAGGCACTGCAGTTGACCAGGAGCTGAGCAGAGGCTGTGAAGGGCACGACGGGGAAGCTACAAAGCCAACCACGGCTTGGTACTCACACGCTCCGGCTGCTTTGGCTTACACACACGTTTAGGTTCTGATTTCTTTCCCACTGACAACGATAGCGATAATGACTGCTGGTAAAAACGTAATAAAAAATTGTTAAAGTGTCTTTGTCTGGGGCAGAAAACTGATCAGTTCATACAGAAATGGCTCCATCTCTTTGACGGATTCTTCTCTAGAGTATCAGCTTTAAACCTAAACATACTGTAGGTTTACTCCAGCACTGAAGTCTAGCAGCCCCTGTAGGCTGTTTCCAGGTCTGGGGTTTACTCCATCCTAGCCCAGTCTCAACCCCCACCCTCACAGGTGGGCCTACACTGTAATTCTATCAGGGTCCCTAGAGGGGGTGGGTGAGTGAATATCACTCTGCAAACTGACTCTTTTCAGATTTACCACTTCTTTGTAATGTTTATATGACCAATAAATAATAAGCAAAACTCTACTGCTTGTCTCTAATACAAAACAATGCGGATAGATATTGCTGATTAGAGAAGTTATCTTTCACTATTTTGTATCAACTGGGTAATAGCAATTCATCTGATTATATGACATGACATGCATCGAAACAGGTTTGTGTATTGGACTTGAACAGATAGAGACAGGGACATACACTGACAAAATGTTATACTGTATGAATGACATACTTAGAGCTTTGGATTTCTTTAAAAACCCAAAGCAAACGTGTTGTATATATGCAAGGAATTGAATATATTATAGCAAGTGAATGTTTCAAGGCAAAGAATGATGCCAGTTACCAATATTTTTCTCTATTGTTTATCTGTTAAACCTTCAATAGATTTAGTAAAATAAATCCAGGGATGGCAACATGGAAAAACATTACAGGACATTACAGACTAGATTATTAGAAAATCTTTAAAATAATTATCAGTGCAACAGAGTACAAACTCTGATGCTCAAAAGGACTGAATCTATGTCTTACCTGAGATGTGTCATTATCACTGTGTACTCCATTCACTGACACAGACTGATTGAGGGTGGTCTGGTCCAGACTGGTTCTGTGTTTGAGAAGGAGGGAAAACCCTGTTAATAAAAAAATGATAAAATAGACCAGCACCATTGTGCTCTACTCATAAGTCCCCTTTAGTTTACCTGGCTGCAGAATCATGTACATGACTTTCTGTCTCAGATTGTGCCACTTCTTCAGCTGGGGGTGGTGTGGGGGGTCGGCGCGCCCTCTCCTCTTCCTCTCGCCTCCTCTGGATCTCCTGCTCCTCAAGCTGAAAAATGATGCATAATGTTATTTATACAAGTGAGGGCTTCCCTGTCTACATCACAGATGATTGCTGGACTTTCTGTATATCGCGCATCTACCAGGCCGGAAAAAAATCAAACCAAGATTTTTTATGTAATTATTATGTCTCTGAACTTACTGTAGTTAGTTTCTCCAGTAGGACAAAGCGATCTTCCCAGGCTGCAGCAAGTTTTTCAAAGGCCTCGTGACGCTTAATTAGGCTCTCGACCTCATCCACATTTGTGCCCAGCTCTGCTGCTCGCACCAGAGGTTCTTGACCCGCCAACCAAGACTCTGCCACATAGGCATCCCGTCCAAACTGCAGCACCTCCAGCACTGAGATGCAGAAACAAAGAGGGAGGATATCAATAAATAGATGGTGAGCCAGCTGTACATTCACGAACTTAATAAACAAACAATAGCTCTAAAGCTTCTTTGATTTCAGAGAGACTGTTGGTGAAGGTTACCAAAGGAAATGGGGCCACAAAAAAAACATGTGTAGACAAACCAAAAAGTTAGTCTTGGTGCTGCTTTAGCAAAAGTGTAATCAGAACCAAATAATTCAATGGAAGTACTCATGCCTTGTAGAGTATGTGTAGTATATGCCTTGGAGCATTGTGTGGTTTACCTCACAAGTACAGATGGGATAATTTTGTAGAGTTGTACTGTACAATTTGATTTTCATGGAATATAAATTGCTGTATGGTTTCTTTGTCACAGGTCTTTTCTTTGCTATATCTAACCTGTACCAACATGCCCACATTAATTGATCTCTTGCGTTTTTTCATCATGGCACTGTTAGATTGAATGTCCCCTTGTACACACTTTAACACATGTTAAGCATGCTAACCAATTTGTAGATGGTCCATCTTGTCTTGCCAGTTTTTGTTGATCCTGTCTCTCTTTTCCTGGAGCTGAACCAGTTTCTCCCGAATCTGGGAATCAAAGAGAATTCATTAAATAATAACTTATGATCATAATGTTTCTTCTTACTCAAAACATGCCTGAATACAATAGATAAAGTGACCTATTGTATAATACCTCATCAGCTGCATAGTGATTATTGTTAATGAGAGTATTTCCCATCTCAGTACAGGCAGTAAAGCTGTCAGCCCTGGTCTCAATCTCTGATTTGATGTCCTGATGATTGGCAATGACCAGCCCTGCAGATGATACATCCCTGGGACAACAGAAAGGAGAAAGGTGAAATTTAAATATACACGTAACACTGATCACAGCAGAATTCATAAAAATAAAATTACATTCACCTTGGACTGTCGTGTGCATCAATTTGCAGGTTGACACCATCCATCCACAGCATGAGGTCTCGCACCATGTTGAAGAAGCGGAACTTCTCCACTGTGTCCAGCAGGAGGAGCCTGCGGGCCTGGCCAGCCTCGAGCAAGCCCTCCCATGCAGATGTCACAGCATTTTCACTCCTGTGAATGTCATCAGCTTTCTCTCCAGCATACGCCTTCTGCAGCCGTGCTGCATCCTCTTGCACCTGGTTCACCTACAAGGTCAAGAAGGAATAGGGGGCATTCAGTACACTATTTAAATTGCTCTCTTCATCGAATATTGCATAAGATCTCTTTATCAACCAATAGCTGACCTGTCCACTGAGGGCCTGGATGTCATGTTCAAAAGTGTTGTGCTGCCTGTGTAGATGCTGGACAGTGTTCAGATCACGGCCAAGGTCAGAAGGCAGTGCCTCATGCTTTTCCTTAACACGTCCGAGCACCTCCATGGCATCCTGATGGAAGCGGTGCAATTCATAGGAGGCGGCCAACATTTGTGTGCGTGTGTCAATCAGCTCCAGCAGATCTGCCCAGGCCTCATTTAACCCGTCCTTCCACTCAGCCACGCTGGCATTTTCAGGATGACCCGACTCAATCAAGTCATCTGCCAACCCATTTACACCATCTACTCGCTCTTGGCCAATAGTGCTGGTGTCACGAGCAAACTCCCGGAACTTGTCCCTTAGCATCTGTAGAGAAAATCAGGGCGAATGTGAGCAACATAATTAATTCAACTGAATTAATTTAGCTGAAAAAAGAAACCACTCACTGTGACATGTTCATAGTCCTGTCCTAGTTCATGGGAGCCAGCAACCACCTCCCTCTCAGCAATCCACTGCTCTAGGTCATCCACCTCACGCTTCAGCTGGGTCAGCCGCAGTCTCTCTTGAAGCCGCCCACGACGCTCCTCAGCGAGGTCCTTCAACCCTGCATACAGCTTGTCCACTTGGGCTTGCCGTAAGGTAATTCTCTCGCTGTTAAATGAAAAATTCAAGAAAGATTTGTCAGTAGTTGTGGGTGTATACATTTTGCTTAAGAAAGGCATGTATCACTGTTCTGTCAATATTCAGATATACTTCACCTCTCTGGGTGTTCACTGGTGACCATGAGACGGCTGCTATTAGCTAGCTGGTGAATAGTTTGGGCGTAGTCCTCAAGTGCCTGTTCCAGGATATGGTGCTTCTTGACCATCACTAGTGCGCTTTGCTCGTCCTGAGAGAAAAACAGGAAATTATCAAGTTTTCTCAAGACATAAGATTGTGAAACAGTGGCAAGTCTTTTTCTAATTATTTCTGTGTGTACCTTGGCCTTTTCTTCTGACATCATGTGTAGCTCTTGTTCGCCCATCCAGGCTTCGGCTTCCGCTGCATCAGCATAGAACTGCTGGGCGCGATTGGCCTCTATTAAACGTGCATGACGTTTGTCTGTCTCGCCAATCAGTTGGTCCCAAAGGTCCTTCAGCTCAACAAGACGCTCCTCTAGGACAGACTGTCTCTCACCATCCACCTGGCTCTGAGTCTTTCCCCGTCTGTGGATGTCATCAATGCGAGGCTGGTGGCCCTGGATCTCCTTCTGTAATGTCTGATTCAGAAACCGAGAGGGTGTTCACTGGGGGGCTTGAAGACATTCAATTAAGATAATGATCATTCTAAGTCACTTTGATTATCTTATCCTGCATTTGAAAGAAAGAACTAGTAAACATTTTGCTGTCACTTTACCTGGTTCTTCTTGATAAGCAGCTGAACGGTAGGCAGATCTTTCCCATGGTCTGTGGAGGTTGCCAGGGGCATCCTCTCTTTCACCCATAGCTGATAGAAAAACAGAGTGAGTAAAACTCCACGCTTCTTTATCTAATGTAAGAAGTCAGACAGATAATCCAACTCACAATTTCATCCTCCAGATCTCTGTTGAACTGATGTGCTTCTTTGGACGCGAGTAGTCTCTGTCTCCTCAGTTTAAGAGGCTCCTGGAGGTTTGAGAAGTTGTCAGTGACACGCCTTTGCTGACCATCTACCTCTGCTAGTCCAGCGTCCTCCTGGGACAGCGCCAGAGCCTGAGACTGCAGGGACTGCACCTCCTTCTCTCTGACCTCCATCTGGTGCTCCAGCATCTATACAGGGACAGTACAAATATGTAAGACAAGAAGAACAGGCATGTGGTAGTCTCCACTACACAGGACATTGAAAACCATCTTTTTGACACGTGTTTTGTATCCAAGAAAACTACTAATTGTGCAATATGATATTAAAGCTCCATGATACAACATGAATTTGTTATTGTAAAGATGACATGGACATGGTTTGCTTGCACAGTGTCGTCTACCTGGTGCTTCTTGAGCAGGATGTTGACACTGGTCAAATCTTTGCCATATTCGTCATTATGTAGCTGACCCTCGAGGTTCTTCAGCCAGACATCTAGAGCGGAGCAGCTCTGTGTGAAAAGCTCAGCCCTGTTGGCATCAAACAAACACTGGGCCTTGGTGCGTGTGGTGCCTTCCAGCTCCTCCCACTGACGCTGTAGGTCCTCCAGGGTCTGCTGGACAACAGGTTTCAGCTCAGGCTTCTCTGCCACCAGAGCCTGACCCTCCTGTTAGAAACAGGAAACATACACATATTTTTATTTACATTAATTACATTAGTATAGCTGTTTTTGGCCACACTAAGGCAAGCAGACTGTCCCCACTGTATGATGAGCCTTATTGATCAGCTTATCTGTCAACCAATCAATTATCCACCACAATTACATAACAGTCATGTAACTATCAGCAATCAATACCACCACCTGTCCACATATCATACACAAAACACATCATATCACAAAGTTACCCTTTTTAAATTAGATTAATTATAGTCTCACCTTGTCAATTTTGTCCAGCCAGTCTTTGTTAGAGGCCAGCTCTGCCATGAAGGCCTGGTGCTTCTGCCACTTGCTGTGAAGATTTCTGGCCTCATCATAAGACATGTCCTGTGCCGTCAGCATCTTCTCATTGATCCACAATGTGAGCTATGGAAGAGGAGAGAATTACAGAATAAGCATTATCAACTTCACATATTAAAACACCATTATTCATTATGCTTTTATTTCATTTAATCTTTAAAGGTTGTTTTTACCTCCTGCCCATCTTGGAGGAAGTGCTGAAGTTCACGGTTGTCCTTAAGCTTTGTCAGCAATTCATTTGCAGCCTCCTTATTTCTAAGATGTCTGGAGAAAATGAAGGAGAAAATTAGCCACTCTTCAAATATCTATTGAAAAAGGAAAACTTTTTCTGCTTTTACTGTCACTAACCTTTCCTGGATGGAATCAACTTTTTCCTGGATCTTATCAGAGTTTGCATTAGATTCATTAATGAGCCGCCGTCCGGTCTCCACTACACCAGTTATCTTCTCCTCACTGGCCTCTGTGGTAGTGAGGAAATCCTCATGCTTCTTAATGGCCTCTTCTGCTCCCTGAAGACTGGCAGGCATCTCTGTATGTGACAGCACATACTCCTACACGAAAAGGAAAGGAATGTTAAAACATTTATTATATGCAATTATTTGTTCTTTATTTTGCCAGTTGCTATACTTTGAGTGATAAATTGATGAAACAAGCAAAAAGTTATAATCATGTGCTGCAGCTGCCCTTGAATTCTTATGTCAGGGTTATTTCAGTCCTGACAGTTCGATGAACTTTAAATTCCTCACTGGACTAAACAGTAGTTCTTCATCATCAACAGTAATTCATCTGATTCTGATTCTTATTAAATGAAAATAAGCTTAGTATTGTGGCTCACACCTACACAGAGGGCTATGGGCCACTTACAGGTCAACCCACTTTTCTCCCCCCAATTGCTCTGATCTGAGAGCTAGCTGTGTGAATACATATAACTTGACACCAATGTAAACAAACCACAAACCACAACCATTATAATAAGAAAAACAGGGTGAAACCTGAGCTCAAATATTTCTTTTAACCAGAAGAATACTGGTTCTGAGCTTTGTAATGACTGCTGGACTTGACACTAACCCAAGAAGTTTGTGTGTTAGAACATGTTTTTTGTTTCATTAAAGCCTCAGCTCACTGGCACAGGCTGTAATGCTGTAGTGCTTTTGTTTCTAACCTGGCTGTTCAGGAAAGCTTCTGCCTGCTTTGCATCTCTTAGGAAAGTCTGGAAGTCAAAGGCTTGGGCCAAAAGACTGTGGCGGTTCTCCCACATGCGACGCAACTCATGCCATCCAGTATCCAGTGCCTGGAGCCTCTGAGCCAAGAACATGTGCTGGGCATCTGTCTGACCTTGGGTCACCTCCTCACCGACTGCACGCATCTTCTCATAGTCCTCCTTATAGTTATCCACCTCATTCTTTATATTCTCATGCTGGGCTAGTAAACTCTCTGCCTCAGGCAGAGAAGTGGGAATATCTTCTGAGGCCACAGCTGTCTGGGTGCGGGACAACCAGGACTGAAAGTCATCCAGATCCCTGAGGAAGCCCTGCAGCTTGCTGGCTTCACCCAGTGATTCCTCACGTCGCTTCATGGTTGCGTTCAACTCCTCCCACACCTCTTGAATCCCAGCCAGACGGCCTTGGATCTCTCCTGCCTGATCTGGATGTTCCATGGCCAGCTTTTCTGCCTCATTTCTTAGGTCATCCAATTTGCCCTGAAAAGACAAGACAATTGTTTAGATACTGAAATGATGACAAGATGTATCTATCCTATCACCTGAATGATTCATCAATTAATTTGCCTAAATCTTTAGTATTTGTTGTTTTTTCTGTCACTGTATGTAAGATCTCCATACCTGAATGGCCTCCAGGTCCCTCTCCATGCCAGTGAGTTTGCGTTGCAGTGCCATCACTCCAGCCAGGTCATTGCCCAGACTCTGAGTGGATTCAATCACCTTGGTCTTTTCCTTCATCCAAGTCTGGATCTCATTACACTCCAGGTGGTAGTTCTGGATGTTGAGGGCAGACTCTAGGGCATGTTTCTTTTGACCAGCCAGTTGTTCAAACTCTGTCCATCTGAGGCCATATAAAGTGTAATGTTTAGGTCAAAAACACCAGTACTAGTAGAGTACAAACATACTTCTTTGCAAAACATTTTTTATTTGGCTTTGTTTGTTAGCGCTGACCTGTTGTTGAGTTGGTCTCGTGTCTGGTGGATTTGGTCTTTGCTACAGTTGTCAGAGCTCAGCAGCTGCTCTGCCACCTGATTAACATCAGTGACTCGAGTGCCTAGGTTGTTCATCTCAGGTTCAAGAGTCTCAAATCTGCAATTGTTAAGTAAAAAAAAACATTTTCTTATTCTGAAAAAGGATATGGAAATTTCTGTAGATATTAAAAATACTAGTAAGAGAAATCAGTGACAATTTGTATACGTTAGAGCAACAAAATGATGTTGAGTCCTAAACTATTGTTTCACAACTAAACCTCAGTTTTAATGTCTCCACCTTGAATATTTTTGTGGGACATTAATTTTTACAAACTTTTAATAACAATCATCCCTTTCTTTTTCTCACAGACTTACCTCTGCTGCACCACCTCTAAGTCTTCCAGTTTGGTAGGGATCTCCATGCCATCTAACCACTGCTCCTTTTCTTCCACCCAGAGCTGGCAGGCGCCTGCTTCACTGAACATGCGGTAAAGGGCCAGGGCACCTTCCAGAGCCTGCCGCCGAGCTACTGAAAGAGTCTCCAGTTCTTCATAGCGCTGTTCAATAGCAGGTAGGCGGCCATCCACCTACAGTCAGCAGTAAACCATAATTTAGAACTCTAATTCGCAAGTCATCATTGAAGAAGTATGAAAACAAAGCACCCTACCTGAGGGATTTGTATATAGGCTTGCGGTAGTGCTTGAACCTGCTCTTGCAAGGAGTCGATGAGGGGGCGGTGGCTTTGGATCTCCTCATCTATCTCCCTCTGCTTGCGAGCTAGAGTTTGAGTGGAGAACTCATCGTGGCCCAACTCCTGACTTGACACCTGTCTAAGTGTCTCCATGATCCAGGCCTCCATGTCATTTGCATCTGTTTGGAACTGATGCAGGGCCACAGCTTCTTTGAGACTCTGCTCTCTCAGCTTAGTTGTCTGGGGGGCAGGAAGAACAGGAGAATTAAACAAACATATTACAGAAAAAATATATATTTGGAGAAAATATATATATATTTATATACTGTGAGCAACCATCTAAAATGAGTCATGATCATCACTCACATCCTCAAGATGTGCCCACTGTGCACGGATGTCTTGAATCCTCTCTGTGACCTCTGGGGCTCCAAAGTGTCCCTCGTTAACCAAAGCTTCCCCGGCAGCAATGCTGTTACTCAGGGGACCATAGCGTGCAGCCATCTCATCTCTGAAAGCCTCATGTTTACTGAGCAGGTGAAGAGCAGAAGTGAGGTCACGCCCACAGTCTCCACTAGCCAGGATCTGCTCCTGCTCTCGGATCCAGGCTGCCTCCTCTCCGAGATCCCACATGAACTGCCACAGACGGCGGGAGTCCTCCAGCTGCTCTCTGCGGTTTCCAGCAAGCTGACCAAGCTCTTCGTAGGCTTGACCCAGCTGGTCAACCTTTTCACTAACTAGTCCAGGCTCGCATGGTTTGTAGACTGGCAAAAAACAGAAAAGGCAGAAATACAAGATGGTTAGATATTATGCACAAATAGGACAAACTAAAGCTGTGTGATTTGTATGAGGAATTATTAAAAGTATGTTTTAAAACTCACCCTGTTCATAGGAAGTGAAGCGCTGTGCTGCTCCCTGCACTGCCTTGATCCTCTCTGCCTGAGCTGAAATGTCAGCCTCTACCAAAGTGTGTTTCTGAAGTAGGTCCAACACATCATGCAAATGTTTGCCACTGTCCTGAGACTGCAGACGACTCTGAAACACACAGAGGACACAGCCCATGAGAATATTTAGTATTTCAACTTAAAACCTAACTCACTTGCAGCAGCACCCAGGTAGGGACCAATCTCGGATATTGTGTCCACCAACAGAATATGACAGAATAGCAGGAGCAACTTTACTCAAACATCTATAAGGGAATAGATATTTATAGCACATGGTGGCTTTTTGAAAACAAAAAACATATTAGGTGATGAGAATATTTCATCAATAATGTAGCCTTGACAATTAACCTGGACAAAACAGTAGCTATAACCATATTAAGATGACAGCAGAGAGATTAGATTAAATTAAGCCATTAATGACAACAGGCGATAATAAAAACTGAAAATAAACTGTAAACAAGCATTGTATTCATATGGTAATGACCTACCACTGAAGATTACAGAAGAAACTGATTCATGAATTTATCAACTCCACCCCAGACAAAGTGCCGACATACATCTCCACCCAGCTTTCTCTAGCTACATTCAACATCTACTTATAAACTTTCTGAATTGAGGAATATAATGAAAACCTCAAATACTAAGTGTTTGTTTAAAGTTGTGGGTGAGTAGTGACACCAAGCTCTAAGTGCTATGCAGACATTTGATCTGAGAAGGTGGAGACAGGAACATATGCTACGTTTTAAACAAATACAAAACTAAGAAATGTTTGTGAGTTTAGAACGATTAATGAAATTGAAGTTGAAGCTTGATATTCAGGGCACCTATACAGTGCATTTAATGGCATGGAATTTAAACCTATAACTACAAAGTCTAATAACCTCCATCAGTTTTCTAGAATCATATTTTCTGGGAGTTAACATGAACGATATTACCAATATATAAATCATACTAAATTATACTGCACACTGTTTAAGCATTTAAGCCAGTCAAAGTGTTAAGATATAACTAGCTACTTTAATGTTTGCCTAATTTGTAAAATGCTGCATCAGTGGCTATTAGGGAATTACATTCAGGGATACCAGTTTTTGAGACTGGCACAATCAAAGTGAATTAATATCGTCGTATGTGGGAATGGCGACACTAAATTTAACCACCTAAGGAGAAAGCCTCGGCCATTCTCAGTAAAGCCAGCGATAACAGGCAACACAGCCCAGGCTAGGCCTATAAAAAGCTAATTACTCCTGTTAAGTGGATACTAAATCTGCTGTGAACATATGTGAACAACTGAATGGATTAGGAAATTCCTTTTTGTTAATTAAAAACAAAGCCAACATAATGTATGAGTGGAAGCAGTAGTTCACCATAAGTTAAAACAATGTTAACCTTGTTAAAATAATGCAGGCATTCACTTTAATGATTTCATCTTTACCTTCATATCTGCCATCCAGTCCATGATGTAACGCATCTCCTGGAACAGTCTCTGTAGGTCACGGTGGGCATGCAGCCGCTCTCTGCGTGCAACCAGAAGCTCTTTCAGGTATTCCCAGAGTCGAAGCACATTATCCCTTCGAGCAAGTATACGCCGCACATCATGGTATCCTTCTGCTTCCAGCTCTTTGGCAACGGCCTCCACAGCAGCAACACGCTCCCAATATGCCCCAATGTCTGTCTCAATTGCCTCGTGTTTACGGGTGGCAGCTTCCACCGCTCCCAAATCAGTTCCAAAGTTGTCCTAATAACAGAGGATATTCAACATATTGCAGTAAAAGTACTTAATGTATTCAAGTCAGAATATATAGTTATCTCTCTACCTGAGACACCAGCCTCTGGTTCTCACTCAGCCATGTCTCCCTCATAGCTGCTTTGCGGTCAAAACGAGCAGCGAGCATCTCCAGCTTCTCTTGTCGAATCAGCTCATTTCGTAGAGCCAGCTCACGTTCATGCTCTGCCTTTTCCAGGCGCTCCCATGCCTGTCACAACAACGAAAACACAAAAAGAACATGGTAGGTTGGTGTCCAGCAACAAAGATACTTATGCTACATGATGACATTTTAGTGAAACCACACAGTCCTGTGGTAGTACAACACTAAACTTTACATGACCAACTTCCCCAAAAACACACATTTAAAATACTAACATATGGTATGACATTACATTATGAAACTAGAAACTGTCTCGATTGAAAGAGCTATTTAAAACCTCTTCTCGAGCAACGCATACCTTGTTGATGTCTGAGATAAGTTTGCCCTCTCTTGGCATGTAAACTTTCTGGTTGTTTGCTCGCATCTTGCTTTGGATAGTGAAAAGAAGAACCTCCAAGTTTCCTTTCTCTGTAAATCTGTAGAGATAAACACAACCTGTATTTAATATACTGTTGCTTTACACTTTTGGATCCTAAAGCATTGGATCACCACTGAGTTGTAATAAACTAGTTTTCTGTTACTCACTTGGGGGGTTTCTCCACAGTCCGGTAGGAGTTAAAAGCCTGGAGCTGGTTCTGCACAGCACTCAGTGAGTTAGCTAGCTGCCTGTCATTGAGTGTCCCTATGGTCTGCTCAATCCACTGCAGCAGCTCTGAAGCCAGGGTTTCATACTTCTCTATCAGCTGGTCAGCCTCAATCGCATAGTCCAGCACCTGCAACAAGGAGAGATCTGTAAATGAAGAAAACTCACACTGCACACATTTACTCACTGTATTACTCATTCATACACACATGTGCATGCACAGAGAGAGAGCTAACCTTGCCAATTCTTTTGCCCTCCACTGCCAGGGCTTTCATCTTGGAGAAGTAATGATAGTAGGTGGCCACATATGTAATGATGGACTTTTCATCAGGCTGATCAACATTGACATCTGAAAAAGAGAGAGCATTATTGATCTGTACCCCTCCACCATTTCGTGTCTAATTTTTATTAAAGTCAGCTTCCGCAAACTATATAATGGCGCTCAAATTAGCAGGAATAAGCAGTTTATTTGTTGCCGAAACCGTTACAAGCTTTTTGTGATGTCACTGTAGCTGACATGTGATGTAGTGTTTTCTAAACTATAATTAATTCCAGTAATCCTCTGTAGTCCAACACCCGTCAGTCTTGCAGGGCACAGGCATCAGCTTAATGCTTCAGTGGATGGTGTCAGGTCATCAGTGTGACGTACAAGAGCACTTCCTGATTTACTCACTAACCTTCTGGGTCCAGCAGCTTGGTAAGGCCCAGTTCCTTCTCAGCGACATTGAAAGCATTCTGAAGATTGTAGTGAGCATTGGATCTTTTCAGGTTGTCAAACTCAATCAGGTCAGATCTGCAGAGTGAGGGGAACAATTTGGACTTAAAAAAATACAACAACGAAAAATAGCAATGTCATTCCAAAACCATCAACTTGTGGTATAGACAAAAAATATTTTGCCGAGCACTGCAACATGCATTTCTGTTTTCAGAGCGGGATACATAAAATAATCCACTGGATTTCTGTAAAGTCTGCAAGCTAACAGGCTTTTCATATGTGGATTAGGCCAACTGCTCCAGCCAATTATTACACAATTTTAGCTTAACCATGTTTTTATACAGCATTTACTTGGTATAATATTGGTCTGGGAGGCCAGTAGCATGAATTGGCATTCACAATACATGGAAATGAGATGAAAAAAGACTAGTTTGCCATTGACTTTCATTGATCATTAACTTCTCAGATTTTTTTGCACCATGGTCATGGAGGAAGGGTATTCTCCATTCATGAAAACTAAGAAAAGGGAAAACAAACTCTGCATATTGTAATTGCCTGCTGTGGTGGCTCCTCCAAGTCACATGAATATCTCACGGTTCACCGACTCCAGTGAAACCAATAATAGCGTTCATGTATCAAGTATCACCTTAGGCATTCATTGTCATGAACAATGCTCTCTGTTCTACTTGACACAAAAGTTAAGGTAGACCATTGGCTTTCATTTTACAGATTAATTTTAACACAAGCTGTTCTTGCTATTATTACCAGCAGGGTGTGCAAGTGAGTATCCCAGCACTCATAGAAAATAAGTGGGTTATTATTTCGGTGATCTAGGTCATCTAACTCCCTATTTTATTTTCATCCTTTTAGCCATACCGCAGACTATGTGAAAGATGGGAGGAGTGGGAGGAGACCTAAATAAAAGTGTGATGGTAAATTGACAGGAGCTCCTCATTAGATAAAGATAAGACAGTGAGCAGGATAATGGATACTTTGGTCTTGCAGGATAAAATTCTCATTTGAAAAGGGAGCTCTGTTAAAAGTATTATTGAATACTGTTAATAATATACTAGTATGGGCCTAAAAGGATCTGGTTGCATTCCACATCACAATGCAGCAGGCAACATGAAGTGCAGGAAGAAGTCAGTGACCTGTGTTTGTGCACTATGGCATTGAACGCCAGACCATCTCGCCAGCTGGTTGTGAAGTTGTGGATGTTGACGTTGGGATATCTGTAGAGGTCAGAAAGAAATCATTAATCATTAAATCAACACAGCATGATTCATCAGCAACACCTTCAGAAAAACCATATATTTCACTTCAACATATAAACAGTATTGATCCTTTGTTATTAAGCCTTGTCTCTTCCCCTCCTTTCTCACCCAGCAGTTTTCATTTGGCACCAAAGCAGCAGGGCATCTTTAGCTGACTTTTTCTCCTTGTTGTCTTCCGTCTCCACACTGATGTCCTGGATCTGTAAGCAGAATATGAATTCACTTAAAACTGAATTGTACAT